TTCCGGATATACATCGAACGAGTCCCCCAGGAGAGCGTCGTCGGGTATACAAGATGAGCAAGAACACGACCAGATCACGGATCATCGGAGGACCCCCTTCGTTAGTCGGTGCCCGGTCGCCAGTGGTAACGGAAACCGCGATCACAAGATTTGCACGGATTCCGCTTCACCACAATGGTGCGCGTGCCCGGATCTTCTGGTGACTCGGGATTTCACCGTGAGTCCCGACAAGACGTCAAGGTCAAGGAAGAATACAGGGAAGAAGTGTCGACGAATGCTGGATTGACGGAGACATCACTTAATGCAGCAAGATCCACAGATCAGCGGAGTTTGGAGAAGATCTCTACTGACAGACACGAGGCGGACCTGGATCAAGACCCAGATCTTGAAGACAAACCTCGAATTCCTCTCAAGGCTGCCGCGGTGGTCACCGCGGATCTAGATGGAAACCTAGATCCGCAAACAACGGACAAGGACACGATTAAGGCGAAGTCCAATCTGTCCACCAAGTCCAAGAAAAAGAAGATCAAAGCCGCTCGGACGAAGTTGAAGGTACCAGATTCGGGATCGGAAGACGTGCATAAGCCGAGATCGACAATCGCCAATGACATGATCGAGCAAGCTTACTATATGAAGATTCTGAGCGAAACACTGCTGCAGGATCCTGTCCTCGCGATTATACAAGTACACCAGATCGGCGATCTGACAGGCCCGATATCCAAGCCCAACACCAGCACAGATAGGCTGAATGCGGTAAAGCTCCTGCTGGATCTCCTCCACGAGGCTGGGTTGGTAGCGGGATAATTCGATCCGGATGACCTGTTTGAGATGGAACTGGGGGCAATCCAGGCGGCGACTCAAGATCTCTACGAATCGCTCAAGATCTTGGTCGGCGAACACGGCCAAGCACCAGATCTGAACTATCAGAACAGGTCGTAACACTACGCGTCGGCTACTTCGGAACCGGATTCAGATTCTCCCCGAGCCCCGCAACGTATGTCACTAGGGCCCTCGGGCGCCAAATATCTGAGATCACGCGTGAACAGACCGGATCAACCATTAAGTCAGACCCCAGAGAAACTCGATCAGCCGAAAGAGCTCCAGATCCCAGCCGGGCGGACCATTCCTACGACCGGTTTTACAGGATCTAGCAACAAACTGGACGAATACTTCCAGATGGCGATGGATCGTTTCCTGAAGGAACCAATTCTCGTGACAGTGCAACCACTACCTCTCGGAACGCAAGATGTCGACATGGAGTCCGTCGGCACCCCGGATCTAGACTCCTGGGAGTACGATCCTAACGATCTCGGGATTCATAGCCCCTCCTGTCATAATTCCGGCCGAGCTGCGGTCGCCACGGCTGCAATCGGCTCTCGGAATTCATCATCACTGATCCATAGGGTCCGAATTTCGGCCGTCTCAGATCTGAAGGAGTTTATTGGACAGGATGTGGATGAAGATCGCGCCAGAGCTTGGATCGGCAAAGTGAAATCGGCGTTCCAGCGAGATCAAGCAACCGAAGAAGGGAAATGCCTCACGTTCGGGGATCTGATGGTGGGGTCAGCCAAGAACTGGCACCGACAGTTAAGTTGGTCTA